CTGCGTAGGATGTATCGAAGGCGTCCTGAGATATAAATTCCGACGTCATCGGTGAGAGCCTGGACAGCAGTCCCAAATTCCATTGTGGGTGGTTTGGAATGGTTGACGTAGGGAAAAACAAAACTATAAATTCTTGATGCCTCATGCTAACCTCATGTTTTATCAATCATTGTTCTCGGAGCTCAGATCAAACAGTTTTCAGGGACACCATCAACCCCTGAGTTCATGCACAACCTGGACAGTTGTATTACTCAAATGTAAAACCCCCAGGAAGTCCGTGCAAGCCATGTTTGCCGCGGGAGTCCTGAAACTAAGGAACTGTTGGAATAATATTACCGGCACTCCCGTAAATCTTTCATCGTGGGAGCCCCGCATATAAATATTGAGCTCCAAATGTAAGTCCCGCAAGAGGATTTCGGGGTTAAATACCCCCATGTTAAACCCCCAAAGGTTCCGCTATGCCCCGCAAATTTCTTTGAACCCCAAACAATCCTAAAGCTCCTGCCAAACCCTGGAGGTCCTGCCAAATCCCGAAGGTTCGGCACACCCCGGAAGTACCGCCAAACCCCGAAAGTTCCGACACCCCCGAAAGTTCCGCTAAACCCCGCAAGTTCCGACACCCCCGAAAGTTCCGCCAAACCCCACGATTCCCACTTGAAATACCCCAAACTCTTGGTGAAAAATTCCCGGTAAAATCATTGGCATTCCCAAGCCCTTGGGCCCATCATACAACTATAGCTGTTCATATTTGTTGGCTCAACATAGGCACCATAACTTACTGCTTTGACCATTGGGCCCAACATATAGCCATTAGTGACAGAAATTGAATTGGCCCCAACATTGGGCCCATAACCTATCCTGACCCGCATTGGGCCCAACATATAGCCATTGGGATTCTTGATATTGGGCCCAACAACTATCCTTAGTCTAAGTGAAACCACTCAAATGACCATAATTGGGCCAAATGGCTATTTGGCAGTGTCTGGTTTGGCCGCACGTTTGGGCCCAACATTTACCCTTAAGTGTCTTTATGGAACTGGGCCCACACATGGCCCCATAGTGACATCCAGAGCATTGGGCCCATTTGGGTAGCTCTATGACCCATAGGACAATTGTCCATGTTGTACTTCTATGTTTCCATAGCGCAGCTACTAAATGCCCTGGAAAGAACTGGCCTTCCAGGCCACTGAAGAATTTATAAATGCCGGGGTCATGTGCGAGGCCATTGCATTACCTAATCCTAGTTGAATCAAACTATTCTTTCTCATTGTCCACCATGTATGCAAAAGAACACCTGTCATTTGACTAGGGACTGTCATGGATACACCCGGGTATTAACTGTACCCGATCCACGGATTTTCCCACCCACAGATCAGATAAGGCACATTACGGATATATCCGTGGGTAAAACGGCCTGAGTGGCTGAGGACGTAGCTTCAGTTATATAAATGAGTGTATCTTGTTCATTTCTTGTCTGTTCTTTACAAAAAAAAATTGTGTTATGAAGCGAAAATTCAGAAGAATTCATATTAAAACAAAATTCATTCATATATGATCTAGATTGAGTACAGTAAAACTAAAGTTATTTATATATCATAATCTGAGGTCTTTTCCTTTATATAATGCTGCTGTAACTGAGCCTTGATCACAGAGTGTTTTTGGGGTGTGTATTAGCATGCCTGGCCATCTGAGAGT